CCCCCCCCCCCCCCCCCCGAATTTATGGCACATCTAAACACTAGCAACATGTAATCATGCAAGGCAAAGAGCAATAATATTCTCTTAGACAGGTCCCTCTGTTAGTTCCATATCACCTATACATTTTCTCTTTTGGTATTATCAAAATGAGAATATAAAACTACTTGAATGCCAAAAATGAAGAGAGACAAGGAGGAGCAAGTAATTCATACAAATTTCACATAAAACTATATCAGTTCATAAAGATAATACTTATCGAGTAATTTTTTTTATACAAACTGACTCCCTCCATGTTGATGCAACTCATTTGGTTTAGTGCTTGAAGGCCGGAGCATCCACTACAATGTTCTACTCCCTCCGCCAAAATTTAAATAGTTTGTTTCGGTTTATGATGTTTGACTAAAGTTATTATCTAATAATTTTATATGAAAAATGGTGTAGAATTTAAAAATAAAAATTACATCTTCAAAATATAACATCAAAAGATCTGCAAAACTAGTGGTGACATGAATATATTATTTTATCAAATGACTAATGAAAAGAGAGAAAAAAATGAATGAGGTTTGACCCTGTAAACACTAAACGGACAATTTAATTTGAGATGGAGTGAGTAATCTTCAAACACATAATCAAGTGCATCTAGAAATAGTAATAGTTAAGTATCCAAATGCTTTTGGATATTTTTCAAGGTTAAGATCACAATTTGGAACTTTTTTAAAAAAAATTTGAAATGGTTTTTTTATAGGACTTCTTAAATTAAATTCTTAAACACATTTATTAAATATTAAAATCTAGATGTTATTTTCATATTATACTATAGATTTTTTAAATGGCGTTTTTAATTAAATGTACCACTATTTTTTACTCCCCCGTTCAAAATGAAACTTCTCGTTTTGACTTGGCACAAGTTTTAATGTAAAATGAAAAATGAAAAATGAGGAGACTTTCCTCTTTTGCCCTTCACTTTTTTGGTTATTATCTAAATCATTTTTTTTGAATTTTTTCCTATTCTATTTTTTCCTAATTTACTACCTGCCTGCCAAAAAGGTTTACATCTTTATTATTATGACCTTTTGATTACTTTTATTTGTTTACATACTTTCATTGATCATTTGATAAAATAAAATAAATTTGTCACCTCTTGTTTTATAGAATTTTTTATTAAGGTTTTAAATATGTACTCCCTCCGCCCCCCTAAGATGTTCTCATTTTGACTTTTAGTGGTTTTTAAAGAAAGTTGAAAAAATGTGAAAGTTTACCTTAATACCCTTAATGAAAATGGGTGGAGTGTATTAAATTAGGTGGGTGAGGTGTAATAAATAAAGTAGGTGGGGATAGTTGTGATACTTTAATTTTTAAAAAATGAAATGAGAAGATCTATTATGGACAAAGAAAAAGAACTATTGGGAAGATCTATGAAGGACGGAGGGAGTATGTTTTAATTTTTACTGCTATATCAATTTCTAAATAAATATATTTAGAAATCACAAGATTTTACACATTATTCGGATAAGGAATATCAAATCAAGACGTGGTGAATATGGTTTTTATGTCTTAAACATTTTTAAATCTCAATTGTGTTTAATAGAAATTATTTCTTAAACAAATTAGAACAGAAATATATAGAAAAAAATAGATGCAGATGAATGTTAAATAAGCAAGAAATACGAAATTTATGAATGAGACGATTTTGGAACATAAAAATCAACCTGAAAAGTTTAATGCTTGACAATTATGTCATACAACTTATATAAACAACTCAATAATAAAATGACAATAATAAAAATAGTTAATCTTATGCATTATTTGTTTCGCTAGTAGAAGTTTTTTTAGTGTCACATTTGATTGCGATGATTTATTCATTAGGATGCTAGGGTGTTTTTATTTTATTAGGAGTATTATCTTACTTTTTGTTATTAATATAATAAAATCTTAAAACTTCTTTATAAAAAATAAAAATCACCCTAAATAGGACTAAAACATAGAAAAAATATCAAAATAGGACTTTTATATTTTTTTTGAAATAAGACTTTTCACTGCAGTAATGTGACACTGTACATGTGCACATTAATATACTTTTTTGGTAATGTACATGACCATATTTTAGTCCTATTTCAGGAATAAAAATATGGAAGTCCTATTTTGATATATTTGCAATGTTTTAGTCTTATTTTGATTTTTTCTTCCTATAAAGAACTCACAGATTTTCATAAATCCATAAAAATCATTCTCAGAAAATCAATAACTTCAAAAAATGAATAAAATTGCATGATTTATTTCTAATTCATAAACATTTTAAAAGATGAATAGAAATATAATGTATCTGTCTAAAAATTATCTTTACGTTTACTATTCGCAGGGTTGAATTCCAATCACTTTGTTTGTCTACTTTCATTGTTAATTTGATAAAATTATATAATTATGTCATCTCTAGTTTTATAAATCTTTTGATGTAGTATTTGGATACGTAATTTTTATTTTTAAGTTCAAAATCAATTTTCAAATAAAATAATTTGAAAATAATTTCAATCAAACATCATAAGACACAAGTCACACAACGAGAAGATTATTATTGGACTGAGAAATTATCACTTAAAAATATGAATAGAAATCTACCCACAATACCAAGATTGTTTCATTCTTACATTCAAAACATACGGAGCATATGTATATAGTCCAGAACTCCAGTATATCCATCCAAGGAACTCCACGGGGCTTTTCCTTCGGATTTCGCCTCATCGCCAAAACGCATGTATGGATGTATATCTAAAATTGAGCTGTTAATTTCCTTGCTTGGGGTTGGTACCTTTCTCTTTCGGGAAGATTTGTCTGAACTTCCGTTTTTTTCCTTTCGTGTTCTGATTTCCCCACTTGAATTGCTCTTATATTTGGGGATACTGTTATTTGTGCTTATATTTTGAAATTGTGGAATTCTGCTAGGTTAATTTTTTATATTTTCCTTATTTTTTTGAATTTTATTGAAATGATTGATTTTAAACGATGAGGAATTTAGGGTTATTGTTGAAGCTTATCATCTGCTGAAGTATCTCGATCTAGGATTTCATTTGAATCGTACAAGGTTTATGATCTGATACCTGATTAGCTAATTTAGCTCCCTATTAATTAATGGCGTGGAGGAATGGATTTATGATGAACACCACAGGGGAGAAAATGTTGTGATTTGAATATTGAATTTCTTTAACCACTTGGACAGATTGTGGCTTACACCAGGTAGTTCTTTGAAGTGAGAAATGTTAATTACCATGTTCTTATCTTGTTTTTTTTACATATAGTACTTGAGCTTGCATAATTTGAATTTGATTAGGAAAGGATATTTGGTGGAATAATATCGGAGCATAACAAAATGATATTTAACCTTGAAATATTACAGTATATGGAATAAATTTTATGAACTTTGGATGAATTTAAAGTTGAACATTGCTGAAGTATTGTGATATAGTGTTTTCTTTGAATCATTACACATTAGCAAATATTAAAAAGGTATTAACTTTGATAAATGGCTAAAGTTTAAAGTATAAAGACTGTGTTTTCATACTTAGATGATTGATATTTCATTTCTTTAACCCTTACAGATTATCTTGTGTGCATTGTGAATGCATGAATTAGACAAAGTCAACTTCTATGAGTTGTTGGAATCTTTTAGTTCTAAGTATTTGAATTAAATATTGCTCAATGTTGATGAGTTTATTATGACATACGATTTGATAACCGTTCATGCATCTAAATGATATTTATTCCACAATTTGACAAGTGACTATTTAAAATGCCTGTTCCTCAGGTTAATTGAGTTTTCCATCCCCTTTGATATATCAATACAAGATAAATAGACTATGTTATGATTTGATCCTGCATAAGTTGTGGTTTCTGCTTCGGTAGATGGCTAGGCAAAGCAATTGTAGGAGGAAGGCTCGATCTGAGTGTATAGGTTCTGATCAGTCTGACGAGGATTACATTATTGATGAAAATGAGTGTGATGAGTCAGAGGATGAATACTCATCTTTTATTGATGATGAGTCTGAGGAGAGTATATGTGCATATGAAGATGAGGAAGAAGATAAAGAGACGAGGTCGGAAAGGAAGAAGTTGAGGAACACAGTTAGACAAAGAGCGTCAAGGACAAATAAAAAAAGAGTTGTAAGACCTAGAAAAAGGAAAAGAGTTTCATACAGGGAAGATGATGTTGAAGAAGAAGAAGAAGATGATGATGATGATGATGATGAGGATGAGGACTTCAAACCAGATGAGGTTTTTGGTGTACATGAAGAAGAAGCTGAGTTTCCCATAACAATTGGGAACAAGAACTTCCGTAGGCCAGGTGTGCAAAGTGTCATTTCCGAAGTTGTAGAGGATGATGACATTGAATATGTACCTGATGAAGTTGATTGTACAGATGCTGAAGAAGATGAACAGCCCCGGACAAAAAGCAAGTCAGGCAAGTTCCGATTGCGCAAGTTCATTGCCAATGTGGAAGAAGAAGATGGTAGTGGTGGTGGTGGTTATGATGATGATGAATTCGGAATAAATGAGATGGATGGTGCTGATGATGAGGAAGATGTGTTTCCTGTGGTCAAAAGCAGAAAGAAGTTGAGAAAGAGAATGTTGCATAAGGGCATTGCCAAAGATGGTGATGATGATGATGATGATGACGAATTTAAACCAGATGAGTTAGGTGAAGCTGATGATGAAAACGATGAAGAAGAAATTCCCATGACATCATGGGGTGAGAAGGTGAATGGGGTACAGTTGCAAAGATGCCTTTCTGAAGGGGCAGAATATGATGATGATGATGATCATAATAATGACAATTACTTCACACCAGTTGTGGTTGATCACTTGGATGAGGAAGATGAGTGCTCCACAATGAAAGGGTGTCGGAAGCTTCGCAGCACATGTATGTTCCAGGGCATAGATAAAGGGAAACCGAGTAAGATCACAAGGGGGGAAACAATAAATAAGGATGTAATAAACAGGGGAGATCCAGTTGATAAAGATGTGAAGCTAAATGATGTTTGCGCTGCAGAAGAAAAGAATAAGATCAGTATAGAAGGGGAAAAGATAAAAAGGCTAATTGTACATTCAGATTCAAGTTCTGCTAATAATGGGCTGTTAGACTGGAGGTGTCCAGTGATCCCAAAGAATTTTATGGAACCAGAAAGTTCACAGCTTCAAAAGAAGCACTCAAGAAGGAAAGGTAAGGAGAAGGTAGAAGATTGGAAGCCTGAAGTAGGAAAGCAGGTTTGTGGAATATGTTTGTCTGAAGAAGGTAAAAGGAGAGTTCGAGGAACTTTGAATTGCTGTAACCACTACTTCTGCTTCGCTTGCATCATGGAATGGTCCAAGGTTGAATCCCGTTGCCCTCTCTGCAAGCAAAGATTTGTCACAATCAGCAAACCTGCAAAACCAAATGCGTGCTTAGATTTAATGACTGAGGTTATTCAAGTCACTGAACGTGATCAGGTAGTTTGGTCAGTGATTTTTTCCCTTCAATGTTTTGGTTGCAAGCTTTATTTTCCTTATGTTTTAACCTATGTGACTGGTTGTATATAGGTATATCAACCATCTGAAGAGGAGCTTAGGGGGTATCTTGATCCATATGAAAATGTAATTTGTACTGAATGTCAACAAGGTGGAGATGATGCTGTAATGCTACTCTGTGATCTATGTGATTCCTCTGCGCATACTTATTGTGTTGGTCTTGGACGTGAAGTACCAGAAGGTAATTGGTACTGTGAGGGGTGTAGACCAACTGCCCTTGGTTCTGCGAACCAGCAAAATTTGAATCTTCCTTCTGAGAATAGAACAAACAACTTCTCTGTCATATCACCACCTCCTGTAGCAGATGTGAGACAGACATTTGATTTAAATGAGATGTACATCCCTGAGACTCCATTAAACCAAGAAACTTTCAATGTTCCATCTCCTGGAACGGCATTGCCAGCTGCAGGAACTGCAGTAACGGTTTCAGACAGGAGAAGGATACAACGTCAAATACATCTAATTCTCAATGACAGGATGAGACAGGTGGATGATTATAGAACGACTGGGATTACTACTGATGTGACAGAGAACTATCTTTTCGGCTCTCAAATTAGGGGGTTAGATCCCCGACCCCATTTTTCCTTCCTTTCTGGAAGACGCCTGCAGGATAATATCTCTGTTTTATTGCATAGTAGAAATGCTTTTGCTGCAGCATCCGGGCATTTTAATGGGCAATCGGTTCAGAACCAACCATTTACATCAGTTCAGGGGTCCTTTAATGGATTCCTACAAGAAGGTGATTTTGGAGCGGTTAACCAAGGCAACAGCTCAAGTTTGGTTAATCCCCAGCTTCTTCCTTGCAGTGGCAGGCCTAACACTGTGCCAAATGCTAGCACATCTGATTATCAATTTAGAGAGGTGAGACCCTTTAACATATAAAAATAAAACCATTTGGTACATTCATCTGTTAAAAATGATCTGGGGAAAATCAGCAACCATTTTCTTAGCATTACATTTTCTTTTCGTATGTTCTTTTTGTTAAAAGAATGACATTTTTTAATGCTCTAACCGAAAGGTCGAAAATATATCCCACAGAATGCAACCATTTTTTTGCATGTACAACACTTGTGTTGCAATAAACAAGTGCACAATTAAGGTACTTTATAAAATGCTGAGCCATACATGCTTTTATTATATATATAGGCTACAATGCCTTCTTGGTCTTTGCATGGAGGAGGCTATACACATCAGTTTAGCTAACTGGAAGGCTAGCCAAGTGAAATATGCATATAATCCCAAGAGATTAATGGGAAAGTTTGATCTTGTAATACCCACAAGGTTATCAGGTGTTGTCTAAACCCCATGTGTAAGAAGGGATACAGTGAACAATGCTAACAGCAGTCCAATCTTCATCTATGATGGTGTTGCTCTGCAGGTCTTTTCTATATACATTCAACTCTTCCTCATATCTAACTTGTCCATTTTCTTAGTGTAGTAATTTCATTTATTCTTTTCCACACACACACACACATGATGCCACACTTGTTTCCCAATTATGCTCCCCTGCCTTTTAATATATATGATCATTTCATTCTTGGATAATCAACAAGGCTAGACAAACCAGCACAGCCTTTGTAGTTTTATTGATTTTCCAACTTGATTGATAAATTATTTCTAGACGACGGGCCTCTTTTCAATCTATTGTTTTCCTTGAAGAGAAACTTATTGTAAAGTGCACTCGAGTACAAGTCAGTAATGTAGGTTCCTCCTTTTCATTCTTTTTGTAGATGTGCCTTCTATCGCCTTAAGCTACCTAGTGATGTTAAATATCTATTATCTAAATTCACGCCCTCTGAGACAATTGAGAGGCCACAATCACACTATGTTTTGGTTCAAGCAATTCAGGAAGGGGGGAAAATAAGAAAAAAAAGTTGAGAGGACAAGGAAATGTAAAATTGTGAATTAGGTTTTCCTTCCAATTTTGGGAGAAAAAATGAGAGAAAACAGCAAACTTTATCTTTGCGTTCCCCCTCTGTGTTCCCCACCCCCACGTGCATCCTCCTTCCCTTGCCCCCGACTCTCGAGTACTGCCAGCGCACCCCACGCTCACCCCACGCCCACCCTTGCCTTCAACTTCTTCCATTCGCCCTCACTCCCCCACCATCCCAGCTCTCCCATTCTTTTAGTAATGTCTTTTTTCGCTTTCTCTATAAAAGTCTAACATATAAGTTATTGAAAATTAATTTTCTTGCCTATTTGCTAACTAACCAAACAAGATTACTTCGTATGAATTTTGGTTTCTCTGACTCTTTTTCCTTTTCGTAGGATTTTTTCTCCTTTCAAAGTTCTCTAAACCAAACAATGTTACAGAAATAAGAAAAAGAGTTAAAAAGAGTGTTTTCTTTAACTATTACTCCTTTCCAAAATTATCGTCATGTTCCACTATCAGTGACCAAACATTTTCTGTTTATTATTTTGATTAATTGTTTGTTAAAATAATAGATTGTCACATCTTGTTATATAGAGTATTTGATGTTTTTATTATATTCATTTTATTGTTAAATCTTGTATCATTATCTAAATATATTATATTGAAAATAAACTCAATCAAGTCTTCTTTCCCGAAATATATCTGAAGGGAGATGATAATTTTGGAATGGAGGGAGTATTAGTAAACATGTATTGCTAATTGCTTTGCCGTTCATTGTTCATGTCATAATATCCTGTAACAACTACTTCCTTTGTTGAGATGACTATTTTGTTGCCACTCTGACTTGACCAAAACCTTGTCGGAGTTTAAATGGTTCAAAGACAAATCAATTATGGTTAATTTGATGCAATTTGCAATCTGTTTTGCAGTACTCTTACTAAATAGTTTTGCCACAGAAGCTACTCTTCTAGCTTGTTAAGATTCCCAATATGAGGCGGGATTGAATCCTGTGAAACTATTTTGATACAAATACACCTTAACAAACCTTAACAAGCTCAGTGTGGTAACTTAGACTAGGCGGGATATACGGAAAGCAATGTGGAAAATATTGCCAATACTTAGAGCTTGTGAAGCTTACTCAACGAAGGTAGTGATGTCTCAACTAGACCCCAAGAGTCAAATTCACACAATTTGTAATCTCACCAGAAATTTCTCCAAGTATGTCTCGATTCATGTTTGCTCGGAGAACTTTAAGACTTTACAAGAGGCTTAAATCTTTTGCAGGTTTCTGGCCACCCGGTTATTGAAATCGACGAGGCTTCTTAGGGAACAAGAGTTGCATAGCTCAACTAGGATTTTCTTGTCGAGCTGATTCGAGTTCAAGATTAAATCTTGAAGCTTCTAAAGCTTCACATTCGCTAATAGCCCAGAAAGTCATTTGATTTCGAATTGATGAGTATGCTTCCAACAGTCTCCAATCCTGGTCAGGATAGTTCTTGTGATGTTCATCGCAGTAATAATGAGCTTCCTCAAGTAAGGGAACGATGAGAGCTTTTCTGGCCATGGGGTCTCCAACTTGAGGGATTGAATATTAATCTCGGACACTAAGACGAATCCACGAGAGTTAATCTCGTGGATTTGTGTCAAAGATTAATATTCAATATATCAAGCTGAAGCTCCCATTGTCAGAAAAGCTCTTATCGTTCATTCACCAGAGGAAGCTCATGGTTTCTACGACGAACATCACAAGGACTATCCCAACTGGGATCAAAGACTGTTCGTATCCTACTCATTGATATGAACTCAAATAACTTCGTGGGCACTTTCCCTCCAGCCAGTGAAGCGCTTAAGAACCTTTTAGATTGGATCTTGAACTCGAATCAGCTCGCTGGGAAAATCCCGGTTGAGTTGAGCAACTGTTCTTCCTTGAGAAGTGTTGTCATTTTTTATAACCGGCTGAAAAGAAACCTGTCATATGGTACATGATTCGGCGCAAGTCATCATTTGATTCATGTAGCTGACCCCATTTACTGTGATAAAGCTTTTTTGTGAAATAATGAAGTTCTGAGGGCAGGCGGCAATTAGGACATTCTTAGATATATCCCTGAAGAGATTACCAATTGTGTGAATTTGATAGTTTAGTGTCTTGCTTAGACAAAAATTTCAAAATCATTGCTTGTTTCATTAAGTGAACTCCAAATACTATCTCAATATATTCTACAATGTTTTTTTAGTGAAAGTCCTTTTGATTTGAGTAACTGCATTGAGCTTATGAAGGTCTATTTGCATTAAATAAGTCTCTTAGGTCCGTTCAATCTTGCTACAGATTAAGAATCTTAACAAGCTAGAAGAGATTCGTTGCTTTTATGACAAAACTACTTGCTAGAGAGTATTCCAAAACAGATTGAGAGTTGCACGAAGTTAACCATGATTGATTTGTCTTTGAACCACTGGAGTCATGATGTCACACCACTTGAAGTGTCGTGACATTACAGATTTCTATATATATATATATATATATATATATATATATATATATATATATATATATATATATATATAGAGAGAGAGAGAGAGAGAGAGAGAGAGAGAGAGAGAATGCGATCTTAGGAGAGTAATGAGAATGAATCTGGTGTTTTAGATTGTGAGATCTAAGGGCCAGGATTGCATCAAAATTAGGTGCACCAAAATCTTTTGAAAATGCACTATCTCAAAATCTGAGCGCAAGATGCAATTTCAGCCGCACGATGCATCAGATCCAAAGGCTAGATTTTATTTTTATTTCTTTCACCAAGATGCATTCTCACGTGAATATATATATATATATATATATATATATATATATATATATATATATATATATGGATTGACTCCAGTGAGACACCTTACGGTGAGATGACATGCTTCAGTGAGATGACGCCAAACTCACCACACTACACTACAAAGCTCACCACTTTGAACACTTAAACTCACCTTTTTTTTTAAAATTTGAAAATTTTAAAATTAATAAAAAATAAAATAGCAACACCGGCCAACCACCGGTCATCGGCAGGCGGAGGAGCGGAGGCAACCGGCGGCGGTGGCCGGCGGTTGCATGCGGCGGTCAATGGTCGTGGTCAACGGTCAAAATCTAGTCAGCACCCCTTCCTTGATTTTATTTTTTCAAAAAAAATTCAGAGTGTTGAAAAAATATGGTGAACTTTGCCTTACAGTTTAGTAAGCTTTGTAGTTGTTTTTGGTGAGCTTTGCGTCATCTGATCGTAGCATGTCATCTCACCATAAGGTGTCATCTGACTGGAGTCAATCTCACACACACACACACATATATAGGGGCCGGTTTCTGTGAGAATGATGCTTGGTGAAAGAAAAAGGAATGAAGTAGAGTTTTTGGATTCAAAGGATCTGAGGGACACGCTTGGTTGCAGATGGTATTTCCGAAATTTCATTTAAAAAGGAAAGCCATAATTATAGTGCATTAAATTAGGATTAGGTTGTTGACCAAGGGCATGAAGGTAATATCATTTTGAATAATCCAACGTGCCCTCACAAGATTTTAGTTGAACAACACATTCTTCAATGAAGCTTTTAATAAAATCCTGAAGCTTTTAAAAAAAATTCTATTCCATATGGGAATAATCTTTTGTTCATAAAAAGGGTTTGAATTATGAAGAGAAGGATTAATTTCATCCATGTTTATTAAAAAGTCCTGAATTTTAATTATTAGAAATTAATATTGAAGAATAATTTTAAATGTACTCTCTACTCGTCATAATGCTTCAATCCTCTGCTCTGAAAATCCCCATATTATAAAGTAATCAGTGCATTATAAGTAGCTTGTAGTGCATACTTTGTAGAATCGAAATTGATTTGTAAATCATGCTAAATACTTTGATGAATTATAAAAAAGTTGTACTGCATGTTTTGTAAATTGAATTATTTGGCTCTTGATATAAAACACACTGCAATCAGTGGCGGATCTACTTAATACTAGTTGGGGGCTAATTCCCCCCTACTAAATTTATTTTTTAAGTTAAAGTTATTTTTTTAAAAAAAGTTATGTATATGTGCCCCAACAAAAATTAATAAGACTCCATCTAATTAAGTTAGTTTCAAAGTTTTTATTTAATTTTTTTCGTAAATTTTTTTTATTACATACTTCTTCTATTTCTTAAAACAGTTTCTCTTTCATTTTTTTCCCTAAAACACTTCCATTTTTGTAAACAATGACTAATATATCTAAATTAAGTCGTTGCAATATACTCAATTCAATTTGGATTGATATAATAAGTCATTTAAATGATTTGTCTCTCTTTTTTCTTCAATGATAAAAATATAATTAGAAGGTCAAACTACGAAAATAAATCTTTCCCAAATCAAAACAGGAATGTTTGAAACAAAAATTTATTACTCGAGTATTTTTTTTGTCAATTCATATTGTCTATTAAAAAATCCAGGGGCACTGTCCCCGGACCCCGACTAATGGTACCCCCCCATCTAGCTAAAATCCTGGATCCGCCACTGAATGCAATTAAGATTTTAAGTTTGACTTGGGGCTCTAATTTATGTTTATATATATCAATGCATGCCATATTTTTTCTTTCTAAAGAGGGAGTATGAATTATACGATGTTTTAAATGCATCACCCTCGTGTAAATGTGCAATAAGAATTCCATATCCTAGGCTAACATTTTTGGAACACAAATTCCCTAATGATGACGTTCTTAATTAATTGCAAATCCTTGACGTCATAGC